AGGGTTCCTTGCTTTGCCTGCGCTCTGGGTCTGTTCAGGATCCTGCGGCTGGGTCCATTTATCATTCTCTTTGTGTGAACTGCTTGTGTATTTTGACCATTGACTTCTAAGATTTTTGTCTTTCTTGCTGATTGCCAATAGCACATTCTATGTTTCAGAACTGAATCTTTTGCCATATGTATTTGTAGTCATTCTCCTTTCATTTTGGTTTTGTGACAGTGGTTATTTAGAAATACATAAATTTTATACGGTCAGGTTATTCACCTTGCTTCCTTTATGGAATCAAGGTTTTATAATACACATTTAAATGTATTTGTAGGGCTGGTGAGATGGCTCAGTGGTCTAAAAAGCACCTACTTAGAACAAGCTTAGCAAAGCACAGGGACTGTGGTTCAATCCCCAAGCACCACATGCCAGCCAGCCCCTCCCCCTGGTGGGCTGAGCTGGCCATACACACACACAAATAAAAAAAAAAATAAATGTATTTGTATTGCAGTCCTCTGAGGGGTATTAAAATTTTTCATCTAGTTTTTTGTTTTCTTATTTTATCTTTTTGAAGCTATTCTATGTAAGATTTAGTCTTATATTTTCTTGCCAGGTTTTTCAAATTACAGAGTTATTATGGACTTTACATTTACATATTTTTTCTCCTTGTGCTCTGAAATTGTATAGTGAGTATTAATAGGGCTTTTAAATGTCTCTTTTAACCTTTCACTTTACCCACCCCATGGAAAGAGGGCCACAGTTGATTTGATAATCCTCTTTCCCTCCCTTCTTCCCTCCCTCCCTGCCTTCCTTACTTAGTTTTAGGCTTCTTGGACCTTGACATCTTCTGATGCACATTTTAACAGTATGTATTTTGTTATAAAATTACCTTTTTAATCCAAGTTTTAAAATTTTTGAACTATTCTTACATATTTTTCCTCATAAACCTATGATAACTGTTTCCTTCATTTTTGATTTGGTATAAATATATTCCTTTTTCTTGATTATGCAGATCGTTCTTTACTATTTGAGTTTTCTGTTATTTAATCAAAGAATTACCTCATACTAATATATTTCATTTTCTTGTTTATTGTGCTCTTATGTTCTATAAATTGGATTTATTTTTAGTTTGTTTTTTTTTTCCTGTTTAGTTTTGTAAATGTTTAAAGTTTTGAATTTTTCTGTGAGCTTAGTTTTAGTGTCTTTTTAGGACCACAAACATTTTCATTATGTAGCATGTTCATTATACGGGTTTATAAATGTACAAATTAAAGAGGCTAATGATTTAACTATTTTGCTTTCATTGCATTGTGGTCAAACAATGATTTCTTTCTGATTTTTAATTTAAGGTTTTCATTGTGGTCTAATACATTGTCATGTTTAGTGACTTCTTTATGTCCTATTTCCCCTCTACCCTCTGCTTGTTATTGTTTGAGTTGCTGACTACACTTGCCATTTTTTTTCCTTTTTCTTTTTCTTTTTTTTTGTATTTTTTAGGGAAGGGTCTACAGGGTGTTCAGGATCTTACTACTAGATTGAACTTGTAGTGATCTTCTTGTTTACAGCCTCCCAAGAGCTGGGATTACAGGAATGTGCCACCACGTCCAGACTCAATTGCTGTCTCAGCGCCCCCGGGGGTGGGGCCAGATCAAACCCCTGCCCTTGAGCCTGCTTGCAGGTGCTTTAACCCACTGAGCTATTTGGCCTGCCCTCACCAGCTATTTTTCTCATGACAAAACTTTACTTGACAAAACTTTTACTTGAACAATCAGCATCCACAGTATGAGTGTTCAACTTAGTTTCATTTATTAGTTTCTCATAAATGAGCACAGTGAGGCTGTCTCTTTGATGAAAACAACTGACAGTATTATTGCCAAAGACACAGTTCAAGCTTTCAAACAAATATTGCAGTTTTGGAGAGCTTGTATTTCCCACGGTTACTACTTCCCATTACCTTTTTTCCTTGAGATCCTGGTGGTATGTATTATGTGATTTTTTTTTTTTTTTGGGGGGGGATATTGTAGTTATCTTAATACAGAGTGTTGCAAATCATGCATACATACATAAAAGGTGACTCAAAATCCAAGATACACCAGTGAAATCGAATGTGATAGCGTGAAAAAAAATCACGCCATGGTTTTCAGATTTCACAATGCAGTGTTACTTTTAAGAAACTATAATTTACTGAGTTTCAGAATGTATCAAAGGAAAATATTCACAATGATGGGAATAAATTATTAAATAAAATGCATTCCTGCTTTTTCCAACTATCGCTGGCTAGCTATATTTGTAATACTTAAACTAAAACTAAATATTGTAAGAGATTTAATGCAGAAGTAGATGTGAGGCCAGCTATATTCTCATCAATAGAAGAGTTGTTCCATAAAAATGGACCCACTTCTATCACTGTTTGTTTTTCTTTGGAAAAGTATAGCTGTTTCATGAAAGTGGTATTTATGTTAACATGTAATAAATATATTCTTGTATTAAAATGAATTAGTAACTAAATATTTTTCTCAATTTTACTAGGATACATGTTAATAGATACAACCTCTGAAACAAAGTTTTCTGAGGTATTAAAACTTTTTGTGGGCTTCAGTAAGTGTTCTGAGACCAGAAAGTTTGAGACTCACTGATTTGAAAGAGTAGCCTGGTAGTTAGTATAGGGAAAAAATGTGAGCTTTATATTAAATAGACTGGTTCAAATTTTGTATCTGTTATTTCCTGATAGTAAGTTATTACCTTAATTGAGCAAATTTTAATCACTCTTCAACCTGAGGCTCATTTGTAAAATTGTGATAATAAAGTTATTTTGTTTTGTGGAAGGAGTTGTTTGACCTTTTTGCTCTTTTTGCATTGGGTGTTACAATGACTAGTAGACATAACCAGTGGATATCATTGCTTAAACAGGTTGTGACATGATTTGTGAATGTTATTTTCTGTGTATTTTGTCTAATACTTTTCCACTTGAACTGTTTACTAAATACCTTAGGGTGGGAGATGTAGCTCAGCAACACAAGCGCTTACCTGGCATGTGCAAGGTTGTAAGTTCAATTCTCAGTACGCACATCTCCCCCAAAATGTGTTCATTGTACACATATTCAAGTATATGTGTAAACTCAAAGTTTTACAATTAGAAAGGCAGTAAAACTAATTCACAACATGTACTTAGGTTTAAGACAGATGGTAATCCTATAAAAAGATGACATATTTTTTAGAAGTAGAAATAGTAAAGCATACTCTTAAAAATTCTAGAATGATCTTTGCCTAGGAAATGTATGGAAGAAATAAAAGACCATATGACCTAATAGAACTTTTTGTAGTTCCTAATGTCTGTGTTAAATTTTGTTTAATATTAGTATTGAGTTGCATATAGATTGGGAGTTGAAAAAGGAGTAATTTTCCAGTGCATAACTGCTAAGTATTTTTTTTTGTGATTATCAGTTTTTTTTTTCCTGTGTTATAGATGTGATAGTGGGAAGTAGAACCACTTGAACCCCAAATTTAGTGTGAATACTTAACATTTCAAAATCAATGGATTCTGTGGTTAGGGAAGTTGCATACATTGTCATCCTTGGACAGGAGATAGAGTTTTTAGTAGTCACCTTTATATTCACCCTAACATTTAAAAGTAGCTAGTTCCCCAAATACTTTGTGGGGCCAGGGAGATGCCTCAGTAGAAGAAGTGCTTGCCTGGCGGGCTCAAGGGCCTGAGTTCAGTCCCCAGTTCTGCCAAAAATAAAAATAAAAATAAAAAACATACTTGACAGTAAGAGTGTTTTAAAATCACTTTTTAAAATGTATGTGGTACAGGGTCTTACTGTGCAGCATGGACTTATAGTGATCCTCCTGTTTTCAGTTTCTCCAGCACTGGGATTACATGCATGCACCACCATGCCTGGACTCAGTTGCTGGCTTAGTATGCCCTGATGGTGGGGCTGATGCATCATGGGGGACTCTTTCCTGCACTTGGCAACTCAGGCGCTTGGTCTGCTGAGCTATTCACTGGCCTAAAATTACTTTTTAAATGGAATTAATATGCCCCTTCCCCTGATTGGTTTCTGAGTAGTTTGTCGTATTTCATACAGCTTCTATCTACCCACCAGCCAAATGCTATCAGTAATAGAAAGTGAACATCTGTCAGATTTCTCCCTTCTGTGAGCTCCCACCTTATGTTGCCATTATGTTTCTAGTGGGTTTACATTACAATTTATCCATTCATAAATCTGCTTCTACTGGAGATTATAAATAGGTTATTAGTCTGCATGTTCCCACACAGTGCTATGCTTGTAGTCGGGTAAATGCAGTGAATAAATGAATGTGATTACAGTTCAACTAGTCTTCTGCTGAATACTGCTTAAGCTATGGAGGTGAACAGATTCAACCTGCAGGCATTCTTTAGGCACCAAATGTATGACAGTGAATGAGATCTGTTCTCACGAAACTCCTTAGTATACTGGGACATTTCTGGATAACACAGATTATGGAATTATTTTTATTTATTTTTCAAGATGTTTAAATGTTTAAAATATGTAGCTGAAGAAAGGACTTGGCTGTTCTCCCAGTTCTGTGCACTGCCTTTGTTGAATGTTTTGCTGGCACAGATTGATGAATGGGCAGGGGAGGAGGGAGGAAGCAGTTGTCAGAATTAGTGCTGAGCGTAACTCTGTATAGAATTAGAAAAGACAGAAGCACTGGCCCATACATGATGAATAAAACAAGAAAACCAAGGTGCAAAAAGAAAAGAAGATAGACAAAGGCTTGTCTTTAAACAGCTTCAAATACTCACTGAATGCCCATTATGTAGCAGATAGTGTTCTATTCTGCAGGAAATAAAAATAATAGTATTAATAAAAAGTCCCTGTCTTGACAAAACTGACATTAAGAAAATCTTGGGCATTCTTACTCAGAAGCTAACAGCTTATACTAAGTAAAATAAAACTTTGGTGGAAAGTTTCACTTGAAAAATAAAATCTCCTTTTATAGATACTTAAATGTGTTTTGTTTTATTTTAGAAAATGGCTCCAAAAGTTAAATGAAGCTGGAAAATCACATAGATGCAGCATTGAAGATTCTCCAGATGTTTGGGGATAATATTCCAGAGAGAAAATTGATCCCTGTGGATTAACTAACTAGTCATAATGAAGAAAATTAGTCTTAAAACCTTCCGGAAATCTTTTAACTTGAATAAAAGTAAGGAAGACACTGATTTCATGGTAGTACAGCAACCGTCAATAGCCAGTGATTTTGGAAAAGATGATGCCTTGTTTGGTAGCTGCTATGGAAAAGATGTGGCTAGCTGTGATATCAACAGTGAAGATGAAAAAGGTGGAAAAAACAGATCAAAAAGTGAAAGCCTGATGGGTACCTTGAAAAGGCGGCTTTCTTCTAAGCAGAAGCCAAAGGGCAAGGGCAGCACACCGTCTGGAAGCTGTGCTGATGAGGACACCTTCTCTTCTTCCTCAGCACCCATTGTGTTCAAAGATGTCAGAGCGCAGAGGCCAATCAGGTCTACTTCCCTCCGCAGTCATCACTACAGCCCCACGCCCTGGCCTCTCCGGCCCACAAACTCTGAGGAGACTTGCATCAGAATGGAGGTGAGAGTCAAAGCCTTGGTTCATTCTTCCAGCCCAAGTCCTGCATTAAATGGTGTTCGAAAGGATTTTCATGACCTTCAGTCTGAAACTGTATGCCAAGAGCAAAATAATTCTCTTAAGAGTTCTGATTCTCCTAATGGAGACTTGCATCTCCACCTGGATGAACATGTGCCTGTAGTTATTGGACTTATGCCTCAGGACTACATTCAGTATACTGTGCCTTTAGACGAGGGGATGTATCCTTTGGAAGGATCACGTAGCTATTGTCTGGACAGTTCTTCACCCATGGAAGTCTCTACACTTACTCCTCAAGTGGGAGGTAGCTCTTTTGCTGAAGATGAGAATCAGGTAGACCAGGACCTAGTTGTTGCCCCAGAGATCTTTGTGGATCAGTCTGTGAATGGTTTGTTGATTGGCACCACAGGGGTCGTGTTGCAGAGCCCCAGAGCAAGTCATGATGATGTCCCTCCACTTTCACCTTTGCTACCTCCAATCCAGAATAATCAAATCCAAAGGAACTTCAGTGGACTCACTGGCACAGATGCCCATGTGGCTGAAAGTGTGCGTTGTCATTTGAATTTTGATCCTAACTCTGCTCCTGGGGTTGCAAGAGTGTACGACTCTGTGCAAAGTAGTGGTCCCATGGTTGTGACAAGCCTTACAGAGGAGCTGAAGAAACTTGCAAAACAAGGATGGTACTGGGGACCAATCACACGCTGGGAGGCAGAAGGGAAGCTAGCAAACGTGCCAGATGGTTCTTTTCTTGTTCGGGATAGTTCTGATGACCGTTATCTTTTAAGCTTAAGCTTTCGTTCCCATGGTAAGACACTTCACACTAGAATTGAGCACTCAAATGGTAGGTTTAGCTTTTATGAACAGCCAGACGTGGAGGGACATACATCAATAGTGGATCTAATTGAGCATTCAATCAGGGACTCTGAAAATGGAGCTTTTTGTTATTCAAGGTCTCGGTTGCCTGGATCTGCAACTTACCCTGTCAGACTGACCAATCCAGTGTCTCGGTTCATGCAGGTGCGTTCTTTGCAGTACCTGTGTCGTTTTGTTATACGTCAGTATACCAGAATAGACTTGATTCAGAAACTGCCTTTGCCAAACAAAATGAAGGATTATTTACAGGAGAAGCACTACTGAAAGGTCGAGAACCCTGCATCTTGCACTTTGGGGAAAAATAAAAGAGATTGAAATACAGTTTACAAACTTTCATTGCCATCAGAATACTTTGCTGCCATAACTATTTTAGTTTTGTGTGTAACAGAGTCACCAATTAGGGGTGGGGAAGTGTCTGCGAGGTGTCTTGGGTTTATTTTGGTTCTTTCAAAAGGGATGTCTTGGGGTTCTAGAAGTGTGAATTACCTTTCATTAATGTGCAGAATAATCATAATGTGAATTATCAGATTCTTAATGCCCCCCAAGTCCTTTGCTGCTATCCACTGTGATTTTTATGCATTAAAAGCACATTTCATGTGTATTTAACCCTAAGTGAAGTTGAATGAAGCTTATAGAATGAAAATTGCTTTGTCTTTTTAAATGACCCATTTTGAGAAGATAATGTTGAATAAATGTGTAATAAATGGAATTTACATGTACACTGAAAAAGTTTTTTAATCTCATACTTTAAAATGATTTATTTAGATTTATGAATTGACATAATCTTGATTAATGGAATACAGATCTGCAGCTTATCTTTCACAACACTTCTAAATTATTTTTAAGGTAGTGCTGTTTTTTTGATCATGAAAACCTGAATTTTTCTGTTGCCTTCATCTTGTGGTTTGTGTATTTAAATAAATGGCCTTACATTAAATTGTAAAGAAATATAAACCACCAATTTAGAAATTGTTGCCTTTTCTGTCATTAAAGTCGGGTACAAATTGGCATAAAGACCTATGGAACTAGAACTATCACGGTAGAAATAGGTGATGATCATAGTTTCCTGGGATAGGGCTTTTGTGTTACGTATACTTTCTTTTGGTTAAATATTTTATCTGCAATTTCTTTAGTCAGCATTTTTTGGAGGGTGAACTTGATTGTACAGCCAGGTTTTATAAATGGACAGGATTATTTTATAACATTGAAGTTTTAAGTCATTTGGATATAAAAAATAGATTGTTTTAAAGTTGGATTTAATTTTCTTATATAGTTGTTATTAAATTGTGCTAGATTTGTCCACTTCACAGTAAAAACAACCCTTAATGACTTTGGCTGAAAAACTTTGGAAATTGCAGAGCATCATGACAGAAAAATATAAACCCATATCGGATATATGTAAGTTTTGTTTCCTGCCAGATACACTGCTGTTTAAGAATAGGACTTTTCTCTTTAAAGTTAACTACATTTTAAGTAATTTGGCATCTCTCTGGTTTTTCATCTCCTTGATTCAGTCAGTGGGTTGTTATACCTAATAATTTTTAAATGCAGAACATTCACTTACTTCACAGTTCTGTGTACTATCTTAGGATTGTTCTGTTCAGAAAATGTTTCCAGCTGTATAAGCTTTAAAGGAAAATGTTTCCATCGTAGGTGAACATGTAACATAATTTTTTTCTTTGTCAAAGTTTTCCTTTTAACACCTTTTTTTAAAATGAGGCTACAGGTATTTGGTCCAACTTACTGGCTTTATTGTTCAAACATATTTGTATTCTCAGTTTGTTCTATATTTGCTTTTTAGGGTCAGAACTGAGATATTGCCAAGAAAAGGCATAATGCCATAATACCACAATGTTATAATTTTGACCTAAAAGGGAAAAGGGACTTAGTTTTGGTGGAATGTTGATTGTATCTTATTACAAAGTCTCCTCTTTCATTTCTGATGTTTTCACCTAATGAGATAAAATAGAATATACTATAATAATATAACTTAAGTGTTCACTATAAGCTATTTGGATTAAGAACTATTGCAGAGTTGTAAGCTTTCTATCAAATTAATGCAAGACATTTTAACTATTTTTTTGCAAAATATTTATTTTTAAGCAATTTAAAATGTGTGTAGGGTGAGTGGAAAGTTCCTATGCATCGATGTAAGATGGCAGGTGTTGTCACAGAGTTACTGTGTAGTAATACTAAGTGTCAGGGTGGCGTCTCTGTCTCTCCTGAAGCATTTCTGTATCCTCCTGGAAGTGAGTGAGCACAGATTTGACTGCCCCAACCTGTCTCACATGGATGTAACTTGGTCCCTGCATTTTTTAATGATACGTATGTTTAAGATCTATCCAGTTAGTTTCAAGATTATTCTTACTTTCATCTGAATATTTTAAAAACTGTATTTTGTGGGTTTTGGAAGGCAAGTACTGATCCTCTTCTAATGCAGAAAGTCAATTTTTGATGTGCTTTTCTGTATTCATAATGTATAATACCTTCTTAAAGTAATAGCCTTATTCTAATCCAATTTGAAATAATTAGGTTCTGATGGTGTATTTGCCCAAAATTAAATTTACAAACAAGCAATGTGCAAAATTTTCTGAGTTTGTATAGAGAGGCAGCCAACTGATAGAGGTAGCACATCATAATGGGAAGGATTGGCCTTAGGTAACACACCACCACTCTGGTGAGATATGGAAGAGATCATCCTGTAGCCTGGTCTAGATGCCAAAATTAAATTTTGGTTAAATTTTTGGATTTTGTTGAAAGATAACTTAGATGATATGAGCAAAATCTGTGATTCTTAAATATATACTTTAAAAAATCCAACCTTAAGGTAAAAAGACAACAGGAAAGCTGTATCTGTTTGCCACAATATATGAATCAGTGGCTTTTTAAAAAATCAAATTGCTCATCACAAAACATTATGGAGGCTGGAAGCTATTTTGAGGTTTACTAGGACACTATTATGCATTTTCATAAATAATAAAGCTATAGAAAGTACTTGAAAATACCTTACTCTTTCTTGTTGGTGCAATAATCTAAAAATTTAGAAGGTCATATATTTTATCACAGGAAATGATCATAGAACCAAAAATAGTTTTAAGGAAACCAGCTACACAGGACAACCCTCTTGCTGTTGAAGAAAATCATGTGCCAAAAGGCTAAATCATATAGGAAATAAAACACAAAGTAGACATTCTATTTTTCTGAGCCAGTATTGTTGAAACAAGATGAAAGTTACTAGAGATCTTAAATAGATTTATGCAATGTCTCTGCTAGTGCTATAAGTCTAACAGTGCTTTCAAGAATGCCAATTTCGATTACATTCTCATTGTATATGAGATAATTGCTTTATGAATGAGTCAAAATAATATATATTTGATTTAAATCAATTGCTTTTCATTGAATGTGAAGTATTAATTTGAAAATGAAATTACACTACCAGCAATAGACAATTTTGTTGAATACTCTAATAAGGAACACTAGCCAGTTCCATAAATAACAAATTCTCAAGGTATTGGTATGCTACTAATCACAAATTTGGGTTCTTTTAATACTTTTTTAATCCTGTAGGAAGGGTTTTTATGAACATCCTTTTTAATGGTGAGTCATAACATGGCAAAAGTATGTAGTTGCAGTTTCTGAAAACTGATCCAAACTCTACATCCAGTGGTGTTGGGAAATTCTTACAGAATTTTGTAATAGTATATATGTTGGACTAAAGAAATTTCATAGTTGTTGGAGTGCCATGAAGTTGATACTTGCAATCCAGATTGCTGTAGTTTACACTTTTTCTGTATGTTTCAAATCAGGTGTGTACCATTTGTACTGAGAACACCACAGAATGAACTATCCAAAGTCCATTGATTTTAATATGTGTTTTGGTTTGTAAACAAATTATAGTAATTTCTTGCACATTTTTGGAAATTATATATAAGAATATGTATCTGCTTCTAGATACAATGTGTAAATAAAAATTTCATTCACAAGATCTACCTTGTACTCTATTTGATATACTCATGCAGTCTGATACTAATAAGTATCTGGTTAACTAGATAGTTTTCTAAATGTCTCATGAAATAAGCAGATACTGCAGTGTGGGAGCCAATATATTTTAGTAAAAACAGAAAAAAAATCATGTCCCCAAAGGAAGAGTCAAGACAAATTAAGACCCAGTGCTGGTAATACACCAATGCATCAACATAAAGATTGGGGTGAATTATGAGTATCTTAATAAACAAAAACAGGGCCGGGGAGATGGTTCAGTGGAATAAGCGCTTCCCTGGCAATCGCAAGGGTCTGAATTCAATCCCCGGTTCCACCAAAAAAATAAATAAATAAAAACACTAAATTGAAACTAACAAAAAACAATGAAACCTTATGAAAAACATGTTTAGGCTGAGTGATAAAATGTTTGGATTCTGACATTTTAAAAAACATCCCATTACTTAGTGTTTCATAGAAATGGAAGTCATTTAAGTGCATTTTGTAGAGGTCATCGAGAAACCCTTTCATAGAAAGATACACTGAATTTAAAGTTTTTATGCATTGGCTGGGGACATAGGTTGGAGGACTAGTTTGATCCGTGGTACTGCATGTTGTCCTGGCTCCAGGATCTCGGGTGTGCCATGGCCCATGCCTGTAATCCCAGCCCTGGGGTGGCTGAGACAAAGATCACTGCTAGTCTGACCTACATAGTGAGACCCTATACCAAACATAAAAGATTTTTTTTAAATGTTTTTAAGCATCATAATAAGTTAATATTTGCTTTGAAATTTTGTCCCATTTTTAACTACTTAAAAAATAAATTTCCAAGATAAAGCTTAACCTGATCTTGTCCAGAATATTACAGATTTTTATTTTAGTAAAATCTAATTAATGTACAACTCCAACCACATCTTTCAGAGGTGGTATCAGTTGGGACATTGCTATAATGTCACAGTTGAAGTGCTGGTGGTGGTACTATTGAGACAAAAATGGTCATGCTTTAAGAACTGGAAAAGACCGGACTTGAAACTGCACAGGTGACTTTTTTTTTTTTTTTTTCCAAGTCAAATTGGTAGGACAGTTTCAATAATTAACACATTGCATACATTCTTCTTAGCGGTTAATTGTTGTACAAGATGCGGACATGATATCCTATTTACAAACACCATTAGAACAAATCACTATTAAGAGAATGTAACTATATATCTATCCTGATCACTTTGAATACACAGATACAAAATGGACATACATCTGT